TCTGAGTTTTCCCCAGCCAGACCAAAACTTTCAGGTTGATTTATTGTTCTGTGCTCATCGCTTGACGATCTAAACTTGAGGAGCTGTTAACAAGAGCATCTGAAAAAGCATGCAATGGCTGCAGAGAGCTGAGGTTGCAGTTATACACACCTCGGATATTACGTCACACGGTGACGCAACTCGCTAATCCCTCCTCCACTCATAGCTCACACAGCACACTCAGTCCTGGAACTTTTCTGACGTACCTCGTAAATATATTAAATATAAATTAAATCCAAACTCAAAGAACATATGTCAGACTCATCCATGTTTGCTGAATTTTACCTCTTCCAACCTGTTCAAGGCTACTAGAGAAGTCTGCTGGTCATGTATCACTGAACTTTTATTTATTTTCTGAATAAATAAAGGGATACACTAACAAATAGTCAAGTTCAAATAATGCAAAAACAAAACACAAAATACTTGGTGGCGGTGGACAATGACTGCATGTTTTGTACATGTAAACATCACATGCTGGTTTCAGAAACCTAAGCCTGTATTTGAAACCAAATGCAAGATGGATTATCAGTAAAAACCAGGACACTGTGGCATGCAGCTGCCTTACTCATTTCTCAGGTGCGTCAACAACTCAGTGTTATGTTGATTATCGCTGAAACAAATGATCAGCAAATGGATTATCATTATATATGATTATTTTACAGCTATTCCATATACAACCCCAGATCAGAAAAAGTTAGGACAGTATTTAAAAATAAATCATTTGTTTCCTGTATTACATTGAAAACAACACAGCACCACATTATTTGATGTGATACCTCAGTTTTATTTGTTGTTCAAAATAAACTCTTACTTCAATTCTGATGCTGCAGCACATTCCAAAAAAAGTTGGGGCAGTAATTTACCATTTACCACAGTGTGATGTTGCCATTCCACTTAAAAGACTTTTAGGGACTGAGGACACCAAGTGATTAAATGTGTCAGGTGTCATTTTGCCCCATTTTTCCTGCAAACAAGTCTTAAGGTGTGCAACGGTCCTGGGTCTTCCTTGATGCAAATTGCATTTCAAATGTGCCACACATTCTCTACTGGGGACAGGTCGAGACTGCAGACAGGCCAGTCCAGCACTCACACCCTCTTCCTCCACAGCCAGGCCTTGGTAATGTGCAGGATGAGGTTTTGCATTGTCTTGTTGAAATATGAACGGGCGTCCCTGGAAAGATGTTGTCTTGAAGGCAGCAGATGTTGCTCCAACATCTCTGTGTATTTTTCAGCATTAATGGAGCCATCACAGAAGTCTAAGTTCCCTTTGCCAAGAACACTGACACGACCCCACACCGTGACAGACACTGGCTTTTAGACCTGTTGCTGTTTACAGTCTGGATGGTCCTTTTTGTTTTTGGTCCAGAGCACACGAAGTCCATTCCTTCCATAAAAGACCTGAAATACTGATTGGTCTGACCATAGTTCATGCACTGTGTGCATGCCAGAGCAGTCGACGGCGCTTCTGGACACTGTTGACATAGAGCTTCCATTTGGCACAGTACAGTTTTAAGAGACATTTATGGATGTAACTAGGTGTTGTAGGGCCTGACACAGGTGTTCCAAAGTCATCCTGAGCCCATGTGGTTATATCATTTATAGAAGAGTGACAATTCTTGATGCAGTGTCGTCTGAGGGATCAGAGAGCTCGGTCATCCAGCTTAGACTTGTGTCCTTTACACACTGAAATCCCTGCAGAGTCCTTGAATCTTTTAATTATGTTCTGCACCGTAGAGGGTGACACATCCAAATCATTTCCTATCTTTCTTTGAGGAACAGTGTTTTTACACATTTCCATAATTTCCTCACACATATGTTGTCAAACTGGTGGTCCTCGACCCATCTTTGCTCCTAAAGGGCTCAGCCTTTCCTGGATGCCATGTTTGTACCAAATCATGATGTAGTCACCTGTTGGTATCACCTGTTTCAAATGGAATCATCATTTCATTGTTTTACCTCTTTACTGGCCCTGAAATGCAGCAGTCCCAACCTTTTTTGGAATGTGTTGCAGCATCAGACTTGCAGTGAGTTTTTTTTTTTTGAACAAAGAATAAAATTGAATCACAGATGATTTACAATGAACTATTTTCAGTACTACCAGCAACAAAGAGGAATAAGTGTTGTTGATTTTTGTAGTTAATTTCATATGCCCAATCTACATTTTAAACATCTTTCACACTGATGTCCAATTTGAAAACCCAAAGTCTGCAGGCTGACTTTATAAAGAGACACTGATCCTCATCATGAATGAAACTATTGGCTGTCCCCTATTTTCAGTTCATGTTTTACTTGCTCACACAGCTGTGTACAAATCATTCAGGGATATAGCAATATGTGTTGTTGAGGATATGATAACTAAAATCTGCATTGTTATAAAAATTGTAAAATATTATAATGATTATTCCTAGGCTTCAGTGTAGACCTAATGTATGTCTTGGGCACCAAAAGAGTGTGCAGATTGGGTCAGAAGATGATCTGAAAATAGAGAGCTTTATCTTCAAGATAATAAAACATAGCGCCATGCATCTGGATTTATTTAATCTATAAAATATATCGGCAACCTCAAAATAACAGAAAGACCGGTAAGCACCCACTTCAACAATCTCTTTCGCTTCAAATACATAAAAGAGTGTCCGTGGGCTCATCTCTACCAAATATGGGTTATCACAACACACAGCATCGCTCCCTCTCTGTCCGGATTGTACCATCGCAGGGATGAATTTTAACTCGTGTGATGAAAGCTGAAGATGAATACTTCATCTCTGACCCATATAATGGCGGTATTTCAAGCTCGGTAATCTGAACCCCGCGGTGTTGCACACCGCTCCTCCGCTGTGCCCTCCTGGTGCGGCTGGAGCTTTTAGCGGCGCGTCTCGCCTCCCATCTTTCTCCGCCTGGATCCGATTCACCTCTACTCTCCATCTCACTTCCAGCAAGAGGAGAGGAGGGAGAAGGCGAAGCAGCACACACACAGAAAGGGGACACGGAAACGGGGAAAGTAAGTAGCTCGAGAAGGGGGGGATTAGGCTCTTGGAAATGTAAGCGTGTTTATCTGAGAGGCGAGTCCCTTGAACGTTTACTCTCCTCGCTCACTTGTAAAGTAACGTTAATGCTACTGTAGTACTCTAGCTAGCTGCATCTCGTTCCTCGTTACATTGTGGTCCACACACCTCCAGAAAGTTTCCGTTTGGTACTCTGAACTTCGGCTTGTTATTGGGACTAATGTACAGTTAGGCTGGTTTCATGCGTGATAATGTTATTGTAGGCTAATATAAAAACATGTTTTTAGAAAAGGTGACACTTTATTTTGACTTATTGTAAGCTGTGGCCTCCGGACATCCACTTCAGAGTATTATACCCCGTACAACACTGATAATGAACGACCTGTAAGTGTCCATTACAAGTGTTAAGGTGCTGTCTGATTGGCTCTTCCTGGTTATTCAACTAAACATATTATAGTAATGGAGCTAAATGCTTGAGGAACACTAAAGAATAAAATGTGAGGGACACACACAGCAGATACCTGTTTTTTTTAGACTGCAGTACTTTTAGCTTGGTGTAACCCTCTAGCTAAAACTAAACAAATACAACAGCCCAGTAGTAAATTGTACCTTCATGTTCCAATGTTGACTTTTTGTTAAAACTGGTGTAGAGTGTTTGCCATGTTGTTACACCTCTCCATGTAGCAATTGCAATTCAACTACAGCACAAATTTCAGACCCTAAAATCAAACAAAGCTGAATCGATACATTTCTGAAACAGTTTCAGCAAAAACTGGTTATACTCTTCATGTTGATAAGATTTATGGCAGGGGTGTTGTTCATTAGTTTTTAGCTAGGTCTTCCTAATAAACTGGCAAATGAGTTGAGGTCCCCGTCAGAATACAGTGCCATACATAATTTGTCACAGTTGAATAAATTTTTAACTCCTTCCACAGCACTTGGAATGATGATTGATGATGATGGGCCTGTTGTTGTGGTCCTCCAGACAGTGATGACAGGGAATATAAAGACCACCCAGGTCCTTATCTGAAAGGTCACTTAATAAATATTCACTGCGCTTGTCTGTCTTCAGTCTGTCCAGGTTCAGACTCAGCACCGAACAGGAGGAAGAATGGCATTTGTTTTTTCTCTGTTCCCAGAGGGGCTCTGTCACTCTCTTCTACTTTCACACTTTATACAAACGTTGGAGAACCTCAGCTCAGCCTACAATCACAGTACATAACAGTATGCTATTTCAAGTGTACCAATGATTATGATATTTTGTACATTTAGTAAATTATTTAGTATAGTTATATTTTAAGTACCTGTCCAGGTACCTCGCCTTTCGCCCGATGCCGGCTGGGATTGGCTCCAGCGTCACCCGTGACCCCGTTCGGGACCAAGCGGTACAGAAAATGAGATGAGATGAGATATTTTGCATGAAGGCATTTTTAGCCACTAGGAGGCAAATGAACTCTAAAACAAGATAGCAGGCAAGCATCCCCATGGCTGATATTTTAGCAAATAGTTGTCGTCTTATACATACATATGCACCAGACAAACAGTAACATTAGCATTCATTTAGAGTCACCTGATAAATAAAGTTAAATGTTCACTGTCTTTTGGCTTCCGCCAATTCATGAGAAATGGAATGTATTTGCTTTCTAGATGTTTGACTTTTTTAAATTAGTTTCTAACTTTGTTGTTTGGTGCTGTGCAGGTAGGGTACGGTGTTTTTTTTAATTGATGAAAACGGTTGCCTGTTGCTGCTAACAATCAATCCTGTAACTTTCCAAATTACAATTTTGATATACCTTTTTCTCCAAAATCCTTTTTTCAGTTGTCTTGGACCTGGAAGCCATACAAGAAATCAGACAAAATTCTAATCAAAGAGTAAGTAAATAAAAAAAAAATGAAGGAAACATTCCATAGCAGCTGTACTTGTCAGATATTGATCCTCAGTTTCTTTCTGTACAGAAAAAAAAAAATGTTGAGAGAAGTGAGTTAAACAGTGAATTTGCAGACCGCAGAACCAAAAAAATGTCCCAAATTAGGCTTTAAAGCTCAGAGGTGGATGATAAATTTCTGTGGTGTTGAGTTTCAGTGCTCTTCTTGACTTCACAGGTAATCGAAGTGCAGTGCTGAGAAGTCGAGGAGTTCCTGTTTGTTCCTCCAACCTGAAGGTACAGTAGTATCATTAATTTCGATTTAAACGATTAATCTCGCCTCTTCACCTGCTCTCCCCTTGCTTTTCTTTCCATTCCCTCCTCCTCATCTCTCCTTCCTGGCCTCAGTTTTTTTTGTTTCAAGAAGCATTGATTACTTCCTTGCACATACACTCATAAATGCCATTTCAGTTAATCAATATGCATAGTGTGCAGCAGCTATGTTAAATCTACAAGGTTTGAAGCTGGCCTCAGCGTAGCGTTAGTCTTGCCATTTGCTCAAAAGAAAAACAGAGGATGAAACTTCTTCCTGTCAAAGTTAGGAGGAAATTTAAAACCAATATGCCGTGTCTGTCAGTCAGTGCTGTTGGGATGATGGGCCTTCTTCCTTCTGACAAGGGGACTGACTTGAAACTGACAGCAGGGCTCCATGTTTTGTATTTTTGGTTGAAACAAAACAGTAAATAAATCTATTTATTTTAGAGTATACTAACTAAACAGAGTGTACTATACTATTCCATATAGCAATGGCAGGCAAATGGTAGTGTGTGGGCCTGCAACAAAAATATCACACTGACAAATGCTGACATTCTCCATTTCATAATTTACATTAAAACCTATACCACATTTTTCATAGTTCCACTGTTGTTAGCTGTGTAAATATAAGGCTCATGTAAACCTCAATAAATATTACCACATAGCACCTAATACTGTGCGTACATGAAGCGAGGCATGCAAATAGTAGCACCATGAATCCATTTTCCCCAAAATGTGTATTCATGAGCTGCCACAACAAACATTTCATTCTTCAATAAAATCAACAAACAAAAAGTATTGAAAAGACAGCCTACATTCCCCTGCTCCTGTAAAATGTTGCCCCTCCAAATAATCAGTGCTAAAAAAAACTAACTTATGGTTCAACCTAATTCCTGACCTCTGCCTCATAATAAACGGCTCTCAGAATAAATATTCCTAAGTGACGTGATGATATTTGGTAAAGATATTCATTGTAGAGATTTGTAATGGTTCCTACAGTATGCACAGGGCAATAAACTCAAACCTGAACCTGAAATAGAACTACTCCAATAAGGTAGCTAAGTCTTACTGATTAGCGGGAATTTGTGGAAATTATAACAGATAGTGATCAGTGTCCTGTCTTTGTAGAAGGAACTGGTTTTTGGTTTGGAGCCTGTGTGTAGCTAGAAATCACTGCATGGCTTATGAATTTTTGTTTGCTCAGTAGGTTAAAAATAGGCCCTACTACATCAGCTATAGCTAATAACAAAAACAGTAACAAACTTTAATTTCTTCAGGTCAGTGAACTGTGCTTGGATAGTGTCGCTTTAAATAAATGCTGTGTATGCTAAAGTATTAGCAAGCACTACTGGAGCTAGTGATCTAGAGGGACACATCATGTTGGTGTTTATCTTCTTGTTGCTTGGCAATATGAATGTTTTCCTACTGGACTGAAGGTGAGCAGTCTGGTCACAGTGTGTCTGTAGGAGAGAGAGATAAAAGCAGCCTGCCTGCTGTGTTAGAAGGCCCAGAATACACTATCCAGAGCGCCTGCTGTCTTATGATCCACACATAGAGGAGGGAAACACTGTTTGTGTTCTTCCTTTACCCATGAACACACCTCCTAAATCGAAACTAGCTCATAGACATGAAGCCTGAGAGAAAAATGCGCTCACTGTGCAGAAATGTGCTCACTCTGAAAGTCAACCAGTCAAATCCTAAAAGGGTAGGAGTACAGGAAACACACACACTCACACACACTTAAAAGCATGGTGAAGTAAAGGAGCCATTAGGGAGTTAATTCCAATTCTGCTGACAGTAGATAGGTCTTACCATTTTTTCTCTCTATCACATAGTAATTACTTATAAGACCACAGGGATTATGATGTCCCCAACTCCCTTCTGTAATAGAGCTTGTGCTCCATATAACCCTTTAGCTGTGCTACCCAGCCTCTATCACCCCTCTCATTAAGCTGTCCCTCCCTCTCATTATCCCCTTCATATAATATCCTCCATCCATTAACTTAGCCCACTTCTCCCACTCCTTACCATTACTCCCCCTCCTCTTTCTGCCTCTTCTTCATTTTTCCTGCCTTTCCTTACGCTTCTTCCTCGTATGCTCTTTTCCCCACTCAAGCCTTCACAGCACTGCCACACTGGATCAGCTCACTCTAATTTGACTCCTACACGGCAGTCAGTGAAAGGGAGCAGAACCACTATTGCCCTCAATGAGCCAGGGAGGGGGCTATGCTTCCGGCACACAGTACAGCACAGTGGAAATTGAATATGCATTGTCTTTATGTAGCGAGGCACGTGATTTGGTGCAGGCAGGTCATGTCCGTGCATACATCGAGCTTTGTTTTCTGAGCTCTGCTAATGTTTGCTTTTTTGTTAAGTGCGAGTATCTATTTTGGTCTTGTTTCCATGGCTTCTGGCGCTGTGACATGCAAAATGCAACCATGGCTTCGATTAGCTTCTTTATGGCTTCATCTTCTTCCAGCTTTCAGATGAGACCTTGTTAAGATGTTTGTGCATCTGTTCATCTAAGTGCAGGCCTGTGTTGTCTAAATACATTTATTTTGAAAAGGACATTGGACTTTGAACCTTAAGTTAATGATCATCACAAGGCCCTCACCAAGAACAAAAAAAAAACAGTTCTATTCACAATAACACAGTAATTTGTACTTATTCTTCTTAACCCGTAGCATGCATAGGCATCATACACATACTGCCAGAATTAGCACATGAGAAGCGTACTTCTTCTGACTCTTTTTTCCCTATATACTAGGGATGTAACAATATTTGTATTTTCATGATATCAAAATAGAAAAATGTCTTTGTACTGTCATGGAACTGTGGTGGTATTTACCAGGATATTCCATATGGGTATATTGCTAGTATAACTGTGTTGCAGAATTTGAAACTGCCATTGCAGATACTCCCACAGGAATTTTGTGCTAGTTTATGATTATAAATAATGAAACTCCATAATTTTAGCACTGCATATGGAAGATTGTTTAATTAAAAACATAAAAAACAATACTGCACAAGTACCAGGAAATATAATAGAGTAGCCTTTTATTTAGAGTCCAATCAAAACAATGGAGATTAACAGAAGTAAATTTGACTTCATGTGACAGAGGCTTTTACTTTCTGTTGTTTTTTCCACAGTTGAAGTTTGATGTTAGAGTAGCTGATAATAGCACAGAACAGAGGATCATTGAAAAGTTACATAATAACCTTTGTTTTAATTGTATTTCTTTACTTTATTTCATCATTCATCATAAATCCAGCTTATAGGGATTTATGTCATCTTTTAACTTAAGGATTAGGAAACATGTCTTCACACCTAGCTGGTAGGTTATCTTAGATTAGGTGGCCCTTCCCTCTCTCGTATTCTTGGCTTTTTGTGTGCATTTCCCAGTGGAACTTCTTCTCTTTACTGGATGATTACTGGCATTCATGTAATGGCGCCGGCAGTCGTAATATGTACGACTGTGCATACATATTTTTAAATGGTTTTGCTCAGTTTTTCTGTCACTGGTATCCGGCGGTCATTGCTTGATCAACATAGAGTATAGCAAATATAGAAATGTATTTTCAAATTTATGGCCCAAAGAGCCATCTAATATGATATCACAGGGGGGATCATATCATTTCTATTCCCTAACGTGAGCTCTGCACAGCTTGGAGAGAGTGCTAGCAGCATACAGACTGTCTTTACCTGCTGTCAGTAATGCCTGTAACATCATCTGGACATGTGCAGGGTATTTTCTCATGAACTGCAGTGGAGTTAAGTATCAGGTCATTGATTCTCCAGGACCAGCTGGAGCACACCTCCTAAGTGCAGTGCTGGTCACTGTGTGAAAGGTTTTTATGGGAGGTATTGATGGAGAGGCTGGTGGACCGCTTGCTGCTCAAAGTCAGTGAATGTGCTGCTGTCACTCACTCCAAGTGTGCAGGGCTCTAACAACAAAATACACTATCTCATAGGGGTTGTGTGATACCGTATGTCTAGATGTTTTCTGGGATTTTCTCGATAAAGATAAGCAGATGATATTTTGCATCCTTCAAAATTGTATTAACCTGCTCTTGTTAATAGCATATTAATTGCTGCTTACTAAAGGAAACAGCATTTAAGTAAAACCGGACTTATTTATTTACATAAAATTGAAACATTCAAGTACAACAATAGCAACAACAATTTTGTGCTGGTACCTTGGCTAGTTTAGTCCTGTCATGGACAGCCCCTGAAGCTTTTCATATTCTGTGCAGTGGTTAGTTCGCAGGTGGTGAAACAAGTTGTCAAGTTGTTTTGAATGGCAGCCAATTTATGTTGCAGATAAAAAAATTAGACCAAGTTAAATAAATAGGTGCTCTATTGTTTCCTCTTTAACATGACAGAAGACTCGAGTTGCTATGGTGACACTGTTCTCATGTTAACAGCATGTGTCATGTGAACACAGGCACACAAATAACAGATGCACAAAACACATAAGGACAGCCGCTCAAAGTCAAGGGGTGGGGGTGGGGTCGGGGCAGAGTGAGTTGTTTGCCTTTTAAAGACAGATATGAGAAACACCAACTGCTCCACAATAGCCTCAGCCAACAATCAGCCACAACTGATTTTGTCTCAGCTCTCTCATTATAGGACCTGAACCCTGAGCTGCCAGATTTAGCCTGCTAATTCATTTCATCAGTACCAATATAGACACAGGGACAGCTGGGCTGGAGCATTTTGCCATTTCAATCTTGAATAAATATGTAAATGACAACATTCACAGTGCGGTGGTTAGCAGCTGCAGAGCTAAAAGAAGCTCTAGTGACAGCAGCAGGTAATATTGTTGCCTCAGGGTTATTATGCAGCATTATTACCCTCGCCATAGAGTCTCTTTGTCTGTTGAGGGTGATTTATTATAAATAGTACACAGTGTGTTTATGTGTGCACAGTAGAGATAAGATTAGCAGAGAGAGCATTCATTGGCTCCCTTTGCTCTCTGGAG